CCGGTGCTGGGGGCGGGACACCCTTCCCGGACAAGATGGGTATTGTTGCAACAGCTATTGTTGCCGCTGTCCGACGGATAGAGTGGCAAAAGGGCTGGGCGATGGCGAGAAGGACGTACCATTTGACCCTTTGCGAGATGGTGGACACTTGTCGAATCTCTGCAGTTGAGCATCGACCACGGGCTGCTTGTGCGTCTATGTACCATGTATAAGCTGCGGCTGCAGCCTGTTGGCAAGTCACAACTTGGAAATGGGCATCTAGTTGGAACGCCCCCCCTTCCCCCTTCTTCACCCCCCTTGGCAAATTGATAGCAGAAGAATGGAGGCGGCGGATGGCGGATGGCGGATGGGCTAGCGGACATTTGCGAAGCCTTGTACCACGTCGTCGGGTACGCAGCAGAAGAGTTGGGCATGGGGAAGAGAATAAGACCAAGGGCGTGGGAGCAGTGCCGAGATTGAAGGAGGCGTTGCTGATGGACTCTTTTTTTTTCCGTTGGTGCTGTGGGTGTGTGATCACGCCTCGTGTTGTGCTGATGGTGATGGTGATGGCGATGGCGGTGGTGTTCAAGAGCCACCGGCTCATGCAGCACCTTGTGCCTTTCTTTACACGGCGGCAAGCTAAAGGATGAAGCTTCCAAGAGCATCTCGTCACGGTGTGGCATTTGTAAGCGGTTTTGGAGGTTCCATTCCGGCCCCTGGGTCAGAATTTCCAAGCACGATGGATATGAGGACGACAGATGGGATAAGTCATTTGCGTCCCAGCACAAGTAGGTATTATCCAACAGTCATTTCTCTCTGCCTCTCTCTCTCTCGGGGACTCAAAGGACGAAAACCCGATGAGCCGAGCCACGGGAAACATGACAACGGAAAAGTACTTGCAATCGCAGTGCCCAAAGGGCTCTGATGACCCCGTCATGTCGCATCGACTTGGACATCCTGGAAACCTCAGCTCGACTACGGAGTACTCCGTATCTTTCTCTCTTTTCGATAACAAACCGACATGACAGCTCAACATCATGATTTTCTTTGCCGGCACTTGCGTCTGTGGCCCCCTTTCCCTCCCCCTTCAGCCTCAAGGACAAGTATGTAAAGCGTATCATACAATACAGCGCAAGACAACACAATCGCAGGGGGACGCCTCTTTTTTTTTTTTTTTTACCAATTTGCAGGTGACATCATGACCGAGGGAGGCGACCCTTGGCGTTTAGAAGCCGCCACTCGGAGACACTTGGTATCCAATAGAGCAGGCTCCGGCGTCCCATCTGCCTGGTCGCACAATCCGACAGTCTGGCCGACTACTTTAGTGCCGTGGGCGGCGCGCGCAGAGAAGAAGATGATTAGCGCGGGCGCCGTAATACACGCTGTTCATGCCAAGGGAAATGTTAAATAGCAAGCCATGGGTTCGTGTGCGCCCCCCCCTTCCTCGGGTTCTACACGGGTATGACGTTGGGCAACGAAAGAGACACAGGCAAGCACAAGACGTTTCGGCAGAGGGTAAAACACGCTGAAGGATGTCGACGGTTCGCCTCTTGGTCTACGGCATGTGTCACATGTACAGGCCCTTGCCGGTTGTTGGTTCGCACACAGGCTGGCCGCTTTCGGTAACGGTGAAGTTTGGTCATAAAAAGTGAGTTTACTTTCGAGGATAGGTCGACAAGCAAGGAACCTCGGCCATGGTCGTAATATCGGCCAACGAGAATGTTCTGAACCAACAGGTGATGTGTAGTAGAAGTTGTATAACAAAAAAACGCGGAATGAGGCTTGGCAATGAGTTGGGCCATTCGGACGATTCCACCCTCCCCCTCCCCCTTACTTTTTTTTTCCCCTTCGGCGTGGCTTGCTTTGGGATACCGCCGAGATGGATGATTCAAAGACAGGCGTTGGAGGATAAATGAGAGTCAGGCAACTTTTGCCTTTTGTCGTGAAATGAAGTCGAAGGGATCAGGGTCACTCATGTTGCGGTTTGCGGAGCTGTCAGCTTTTGTTCTGGGAGGGGGGCGCGGAATAGGCGCCAGCCAATCACGTCGGCCGTGGGCCGTCAGCTCTGGGAGTTTGGATGCCGAGGCGGGACCCAGTGGGACGGGTCAATGGTGCCCGGAACACGGACGCTAAGCCTGATCGGGGAGTCAATGGGCCGATGGGCCAGCCCCGATTTCGACAACAATAGCAACTGTGGAGACGGACAATAGGAAGTCTAAAACTCATTGAAAACAAGTCGAATCGTCTCTGGTCACATCTGGCGTCTTTTTCCCGCCTGTGTCGCCGCAGGCAAGCCGGGCGCCGTGTGACGCACGCCAGCGGTCGCGTGCTGTTGGCCCGGTCACTTTTACCCGGACGACGAGGACAATATGAATACCGGTGTGACGCCTCTTGCGCTGACCGAGGTGCCCAGCCGTCTGGGTGAAGCCATCGACTCTTTTTGTCCACGGCAAGCCTGTATGCAGAGCGTCAGACCATTTTCACTTTTCCCATACATACCAAGCCGTGACCACCACGCGCCTATTCGGGCCATGATCCTCCCCCGGGCCGGTGGGCGGTGTCGCCAAACACTTGACTCTTTTTTTCCCCCCTCGGCCATGGATGTGCCTGTTACGGAAATAAGTTGGCACCCACTGAGAAGGCATGAGGCGTCGCTGCCAACGGGCACTCTGTCCTGTCGACAATACCATGCCGCTGCCAGTCGTACCCGTGAATAGCACATGCAATCTTGCCAGGTTCCCCCCCTCTTTTGATATACATCGGAGGCGTAGGAAAATAGGAAGAGATATATTAAGAAAAAAGCCTTCAAGTTCATAATAGGGAAAAAACGGCGACCTAACAACGAGAAGGAAAAAAAAACAATACGCCATATCCCGCGGTTCCGGAGCCTCGCCCCGTGTCTCATAGCTTCGATCCGCCGAGCTGGTTAGATGGGCGCATGTATCGTCCAACCAAACGGGGTGCCGGCGGCTGTGGAGGGACGTACATGTGTACGTAGTATGTAGTTCTTTCATAGACGCAAAAAGAAAGCAACACAACATGGTACAACAGAATAAGCAGCCTCATTTTGCCTGACAGATGCGGTGTAACCCGTCTGCAGTGCAACATCGGGTGGTTTCCACCCTTTGCACACGATCTTTTGTCCGGGAGATAATACACACACCCCTTTCCCGTAAAGGAAAGAAAAAGAGCCAGTTCCAAACAGTGGAATGAATGGCAAGACGGAGCCGGTCGGTCCTGGGTTTGCTGTCCTGGCCCCCAATTGCACGGGGTGGCTCCAGAGAGAGACAGAGATGGGGACAGAGGGCATCTGGCATCTGGCATTGGGAAATTGCTCGATGAATTGTCTCTGATGAAGCACCACACGGCCCTCCCTTCCCTGTCAGCACATCAGGACCAGCAAGCAATTGTGACCGTGGCCAAGGACGGGGGGGGATAATACTAATAAGAATAGTAAACGCCTGCAAAAAACAATAAGCTGAAATAAAACAGGAAAAAAACAAAAAAACACTAAATAGTGTGCCCATTCTCCCGATTGGGCTCCAGGCGCTGCTGTGCAAAGCGAAACCGAGGAAAAGAGGCAGAATACCCGGTGTGCGATTGGTGAGGGCAGAGAACAAGTCGTAGACGGCACGTCACATTATACTGCGTGCTACAAGGTGAAACACCATCGCTAGAGCCAGCAAGTCAAAAGAGAGCGAGCGGATGAGGCTGGCGAGGGCCCGTGATGTATTGTTTGCCCAAGGCGTGTGGACAAGGGGGGGACGTGATGGTAGGATTTTGAAGGTGCAAAAGGAGGTGGTGGCCCGTTACTCCGTACACACACACACACACACACTCTCTCTCTCTCTCTCTCTCACTACGCCCTCGAATGGATGAGTGACAAGGAAGGCGTGCGGCTATCCGTGTCTGCTGTGGAAAAAAAGCCATGCCACCTGTCCGCCCCCATTCAAAATCGCCTGGACCTTGCCGTGCAGCGACGAGAACGGGGGCGTGTGCGCGCAGGGCCCGTCTGTAGAATAATAGTCCTTCCCTCTCTCCTTCTTTTTTTAAAATCCAAGGGAGGGGGGCGTGTGTCTTGCGTCTGTGTGCCGGAGAGGCAGACACCACGTTTCTCAAACCCCAGGCGCCCCCGGAAGAACAAGTCACTGTGGTTTTTTTTTTCTTGTCATTGATTCTCTTGATCTGACACGTAGGTGACCCGTGCTTCCTGCGAGCCCGATGGCAGAATAGAAAAAAAAACCAAAATAAAATAAAATAGAGAGAAAAAAAAAAACGGAGATATAATAGACCACCATGAGCCAGGGAATTTGTATAATATTAAAGACGGCACGCTTTCCACCATCTTTTTCCGGACAAAAAGCATCCTGGGTCCCCTTGGATACGCTTTTATCGACGTTTTTGCTCCTCTATCTGCTTTTTTATTGAGTCTCATCGCCGCCACTCGTCTTGGACTGGTTGCCGTATACACCACCCGCCATCCATTATCCCATCAGTCTGGGCCGCCTGTGACGTTCCGTCCAGTACGTACATTCATCAGAAACCTTGTCAGGGCCTGCCTGTCGCGGAACACCGCCGAGAGACGTCGCCGCTCCCTTGTGGCGCTAGACTCGGGTCTGTTGGGACATCGAGCCTTTGGGACGCCTTTTGACTGGGCCGCGCTCATCATCGCCGACGGAAGCCAAAAAAGCCCAAACCAGGCATTTCGGGACCCAAAAAAGGGCGTCTTGTAAAAAAGCCGACTCGGCCTTGTCTTCGGCCACGTTGGGTGCGACGGGCATGCCAACTACATACCTATACATGTGCAGGCGTTTTTGAAGGTCGTGTGGCGGTTGGAAACACTATAAACACAATACCTAGCTTCCCATCCGCCTCCTTTTCCCCTTGCACAATCTTGCAACACATCTTCTTGTCGTTTAGAGAGCCTCTCTAAGCTCCTCGAAACATCACCTCTGCAATAATTTTTATATAACCGCAGCTCCGTCTCTAGAACCTGCAACCCCTCTCACAACATCACCACCATGGAGGCTGCCATCACAACAATTCTTGACCCCCGGGGAGTCCTCTTAAAAGAAGCTGCCAACGGCGTTTCTCCTCCGCCGGCATATTCTCCCCAGCCACGACGATACAGTCTCCCGAGAGTGCCTGCTGTGGAAACACCATACTACCACAACATGCCTCGGGAGCCCGTCGTGATCGGCCGGGAGCCCATCACCGCCGTCATCACTGGCGAGGACGAGGGCGATGCCGACGAGGGCCAATCACCCATAAGCCTGCGAATCAATACCTCCGTCAGAATCTCGAGCAACAACAACCTGGTCTGCTGCAATACCAGTCCCGCCGACAATGCCAAGGCTATTGCTCGTGCTGTGGTTGTTGCCCTGCAGGAGAATAGCTCTGGTCAGTGTGGCATCCCCATGATCGATGAGGACGGCCGACCTAGACCTGTCAAAATCGAGGTCGATGCTGGTGTCGAGGTACAAGGGACGGGCAATGTAATTGGTGACGAAAAGGTCATCAACGAAGTCTTGCGGCAGACGGGCCAGCTTCGTCGTCAACGAGAGGCCGGAGAAGAGGACGACGGAGAAGAAGAGCCTACGAAGCGCAGGAGGACTGAGTAATCGAGCGCTTGGGTCATGTTGGCTTTTGTCTACCACTTTACGTTACTTCTCTCTGTTCTGGTTGGATATGGTTGCATATACATGAGGTTGTGGGATACCCCCTGGCCGCTGCTGATAGGAGCAGTGTGAGCCCAATGTCTATTTCGGCGTTAGTAATCGGCTTAAATTTATCACATCTCTCTCAGTATTTCACTCAATTCTCGTCTTCGTGACTCTTCTCTCAGATGTCCCCATTCTCTCACTTCTGTGACCTGGACCAATGCTCGGGGCGTCAAACCGTGTGCAGACACTGCGCCTGGCAACCCAAGGGCTTCTCAGGACCCTCGCTCGTCTGGCTAGTCTTCTCATGCGTTACCAGGAATATGGCGCGCCTTCCCACATCCCGTAGCCTGTTCCAAATCGTCGGGATCCGTCGCTCTGCCAAGGAGAACTTGCCTTCGCCATAGCCGGTGGCTTGGATCTTTACCGCCAACCATCACCAGCCTCCTCAGACCGTACCAGCCGGCTGGGTACGCTAGTATCCATATTGCGTCCCGGCAATTCGTTTCCATGGCGTCCCGGCCTCAGCCAGCCTGTCCCAGCAATGTGGCCACGCTATTCAAGTTAATCCAAAGATATTCTTCCTGTGGCGAGAATTGCCGAAGGCTTCCAACCATTGATAGCACCATCGGCCAGACCAAAGCACTAGTGGCAGAGAGGAGGCCCTGGGCTGCTGCGTGGCGATCATCAAGGTAAGCCCCAATAGCACTAGCTATGTACATCATTGTTCTGTTGTTGCCTTCAATCGACACCATGTCGTGCTTTTCGATGCATATTATCCTCCTGTTAGCGGTCGCTTTGGTGGTTGCAAATGAGCCCACCTGTTCATTCTACCTGACTGAAATCTGGGTTGCCGGCTCACCCAAATCTGGGTTGCTCTTTCTCCTTCACTCATGAAGACCACACTTGGCTTTGAGGTGGTCTTAGATTGGTGCTCTGGTAGCTGAACCAACGGTTCTAGCAAAACGTCACCACTTCCTGCGGGAACTGACCAGGTTCTCCGGGCTCGGCCTTGCTGCCCTCCAATCGAGGGCTTATCAGGCTTATCACCAGCGCGACATGATCCCAAGTTTTCTAACAGTAATCCGCTTTGCTGCTAGTTGGTCGTCTGTCCCGCTTTGTCAAAGCTTGTGAATGGTCTGCGGGATGCTTCCTCAGCTTGCCCCTCATGTCCTGCCCTGCCCCCTCTTTCCAAGAGTAATCCGCATTCGTATGGCCCACCACCATAGCCACCCATCCGCATAGGAATATGCAGGCTGTCACTAGTTAGACTGTAAATTTTCCGAAGGAGAATCGTAGCCTTTACGCATGTTCTAACAGACGTCTTCTTTGGTCTTTCTCATCTTCGCTTTTGACCCCAGGTATCCTATCGCGATTGATAAGCTGGAGCCCTTTGTCACGACCAACAACGTTCCGCGACAATGGCCAACTTCACCATTCGCAATCTGACAATTCATCCAGTTGAGCTCGTTCATGTTCAACGGTTCGAGAGCGAGAAAGTCAAGCAGGGCAGTGTTCTTCAAAATGTGACGAGTGCCATTTCTGGCTTCTTGAATGCTACAGAGAGCATCTCCCATCAGATCCACCCGAGAGGGGACTCAATCAAGAATGACGATGTTTCCATCCACGTCGAGGCGTTTCAAATTGCTGAGACAGACATCAGGGCCGCGGATCCAGGAAACGAAGTGGTTCGTTTGACTTTCAAAACGGAAGACCATCGCTATGAGACCGACATTCCGAGCCCCAGCACGAAATCGGCGGTAATGAAAAAGCTGGATGACGGGCCTCATGATCTGACTGTCGTATACGTTCCAAATGGCGCTCTGGTCGCAATCTTCTCGTCCGCCAAACTCAATGCCTGGATGCATGAACTTCAGGATGAGTGGCCTCTTACCGTCCTCTCCATTCCCGGCACTCACAATTCGCCGACTTGCTATACGGCACTTCCCTCGGTTCGCTGCCAGGCTGTTGGCATTCCAGAACAGCTCCAGAATGGTGTCCGGTTTCTGGACATTCGGGTGTCGGCTAATTCGGATGACGACGTGCTCACTCTGGTTCACAGCGCATTTCCAATCTCCCTGACCGGGAATAAATACTTCGCTGACATGCTTGAGGATATCTACAAGTTCCTAGAAGAGAATCCTAGCGAGGTCATCATCATGAGTGTTAAGCGCGAAGGTACCGGCAAAGGTAGCGATGCTCAGATGTCCAAGTACCTCAAGAATGGATATGTTGACAAGCGGGCTGACCGCTGGTGGACCGATCCCAGGGCTCCTAACCTCGGCGAGGCTCGTGGCAAGATTGTCCTTGTACGCCGGTTTGCTCTGGATGATGAAATGAGAGACGGAGGCTATGGTGTGGATGCCCAAGAGTGGCCTGATAACTGCGAGGATGGCGTTGGAGGAGGAGGTGGCTTCCGCATCCAAGATTTCTATGAAGTCACCGAGAGCCAAAACATTGAAAAGAAGATTGAGTACAGTCGCGGTCAACTCGAACGAGCTGCAGAACAGGCTTTCGCGCTCGCCGGGATGCCAGATTACAACGCGGAAGCCCGACCTCCACCATTCTTCGTCAACTTCCTCAGTGCCAGCAACTTCTTCAACGCAACATGCTGGCCTGAAAGAATTGCTGCCAAGGTAAATCCAGCTGTGATTGAGTATCTGTGCGGGAAGCATGGTCAGGAAGGTAAGGGCCCGAAGCAGCTCAGAGTTGGCTCTGCCGGAACTGGCATCGTGATTACTGACTGGGTTGGTGCAAACGATAACTGGGACCTTATCCGCTGCATTGTGGGCATGAACGCTCGCCTTCAGCTTCGAAAGTGAAAGCGCAATCTCAAAACCTCCAAAAGAGTCGATGTGTGGTAACTATATATGTATTTCACGGATGTAGAGACTAGATATGATAGTGCAGTAGAAATTTATATTGAATATCTTACGAAGCGGCCAAGAATTCACTTTTGTCTGTACGGGTATTGTGGTTAGCAAATATGTTTGCAATGCCGGCGGCATGAGACAGAGAGGTAACGGAAGCCAAGATCAGTTCTCCAAGGTGAAAAAGGTTGCTCATCACGATGAACTCAGCTAGAGATAAAATAGAAGTCATCCTGATGGCTGGGTATTGAAACATGATGTATGAATTGTGCTCACCATTACTATCGGATATCTGAATGTTACAATGTACCAGTTGTTCTACCTGGGGCACAGTCAGTCTTGTGCAGTGATGCTGAAGAGTATATCAAAGTGCATCAACAAATCTGTGCCTCGTTAGCTACATGGGCTGCGCGGAACAGCTGGCTGGTACATACCGACTAAATCAGATGTTGCAATTGTGTTCATGCTCCAACGATCGAAAACGAACGTGAATCAAACAGTGTGAATACTTGATCAACTCATCACAGTAGTCTTGGCAAACAGCGGAAATCAATTCAAATTACCTAATTTCAGATACATGTCAGTTAAATGCACCAGTTTCCTAGAAACACACGAGCATGTTGCAAGCCAAGCCACAGTCAGGTGACGAAGTGTCATCCAGAGGTCCTGCCAGTCTCCCACCACAAGGGTTGTACGACCTTGCTTTCAAGGATGAGAGGTGGCAGGGCTCAATATGTCCGCCCGTTCGTTCAAATCTTCATCATATGCTGGCAGTTGTCATGGGATCGGAGAGTGTTCAAGTACCTATCGAAACCAATGTTAGCCACTGCATTTTGTACCACCGAGACAACAAAAAGCGTGCAATGATATTGTCCAATCAGACAAGGCTGAAACTTATACAACGGTATCCACATTATGTATTAAGCATGAGGAATCCCTAAGGTGTCGTTTTGATCATCACTTGGAGAGAATTTGGGTGCGAGCGAAGGCAAACTGTCAAACTTCACGAACCTTTTGATCAATACATTCGTCGGCGTCGGGTGTGATTCGACGCAGGCGGTATCTATACCTTTAGCTGTGTCAGCAGAGGCCTAAGCGGTCAAGATTGAGATTGAAAAAGATATGATCCAAAGCTTCTCAGTGTAATTCTAGAGTTTGCTAAGTCACCATGGTATGGTATGAATTGGATTGTTCGTGTAAAGAATTCATCACAGATAATCGTGGGTCGAAGGAAAAGGGAGAAGAGTCTTACCGGTGATTACGAGCACCGTCCCACGGTAGCCCAAGAAAGGTGAGCACTTGCTCTCCCAACTTGAGGCGCTGGGTGCGATGAATGTTTGGCAAAGGAGAAAACTGAAGCAGAACAGCAACGCAGGATTTTTTTTATACAGAGGGAAGTTGAAATGGGGCACTGTGAATCACGCTAACCGAACTCGGCTAGCGTAATTGACGTCTCGCCAGCCCAATTGTGGCCAATAGCGTGGCGGTGCGTCCGCTCCCTCCCGGCTGCGGCTTGCGTGGCAAACCAAGTGAATCTCGGTACGGGCTTATAATAAGTTGATGTCACCCACGGCCGAAAGCCAGGCACACATGCCGCTACAACAAACCAACCCTCCTCTGTTTTCATCGTAAGAGGAGCGACAACAAACACCAACATGGCGTCCCAAGGGGCAATGTGGGGTTTCACGACCCTGCGATTCCTTAGGTTCGCTGTGGCCAAAACAACAAAAGCGGTTCGCATCAAAATCGCGGACGCTACGAGGCCTCTCCAAGGCCAAGTACAAGCCATTCCAGTGCGAAGCGGATCTACCGGTCGTCAGCCTGTTCACCCAGCGGCACTATTGAAACAGCAGAGACGTGGTTCAAGGTGGTTCTCCGGCACTACTACGCAGAATATCAATCATCTCGTCCGGCGATATATTAGCTCGGAGCGTACAGGAGCCTCTCGATTCGACAGGTCTAAGCTTCCTTCCTCAAACACATCCCGGCGAATTGCCTCGTTCTCTGGACGGGCTCCATTTGCAAACACGCTACGACCTAACCTCACTGGTGGTGCCATGCCGCGAACTGCCGGAGGATACAGCATTGGTGGCGGAGCAAGATACTTTTCTCACGCTCCTGCGGCTCCAGCTCAAGTCGTCCAGAATGTTTCTCAGGCAATGAGAGGGTTCCTCCTTTCCGGCAAGAAGCTCCGATATGATGGCGTCGGACCTTATGGGGAGCGCCGATACCGTGCCGTATCGAAGCTCGAAGACGAAGCTATGAACAGAATGGCTGCTATTCCCAGCTTCATTCCCGGCTCTTTCATCGACTTCCAAATGAGCCCCGTCATCACAGCCCTTAGCCCCCTTGCTGCCGCCGTTGTCCGTGCCTCTGGTGATTCGATCTTCCAGATTGAGGCAGTTGCTGACCCCACGGTTCTCGATACGGAAGGATTCCTCGAAGTCCTGTCTGCAGATTTGCGTCGAGCACGAAAGCATTTGAAGGCAGTCATGTCCGACCTCCAACGGCTCAAAGCTTTGGGCGGGCTACCTGTTTCGTTGGAACCAGGCGGCAAGCTTCGCGTTCGCTTCCCAGGTACAGACGCCGTGTCTGTTGAGCGACTCTGCGACGACATGGGGATTGAACGAGGCATTATAGGCCAGGACCCTGACTTTGATTCCGCTGCGGGGGCTCGGGTAGCTCTCAAGTTCCCGTTCGCACCAGAATCCGAGCGAGCGATAAGCTCACCCGGCGGATCAGCCCGGTCACTTACTGGTTACGAGCTCGATGACGTGGAATCATTGCTGGAGGACGACTCTTTCGTGAGAGAAGCATTTGCCTGCGAAATGGCCGAGAGCCCATGGGTTTCTGAGCCTGAAGGCTACGAGAGCATGTCACCACCAGTTCAGCCTCAAGAGCGTGTATCGAATGAATTTCAACGCTATGACGAAATATACCGATTCTTGGCGGAATGTGACCGAGGTAAAGGAAGACTGGGTTGAGACTGGCAAGAGCCCTTGGACGGATTTCAATGCCAAATGTGCACTCCAATAACTACATGATATGAGTCAAAGCGGATTCTACGCTCTTTAGCACCAATATGTTGTGCCGTGGCGCACAAAGCTAGCCTCGTCAGGCACACAAATTTCTATAGTTTTTATCGAGTCGCGTACCTGGAAAAGCTGTCCAACGCATGCATGTGATTGTTGCAATGAATTGTTTGTTCGGATCATGGGTGTGAAAGGCCTCCATGTCTTGCAGAAGGTTTCTGATGCCGGTCCTTTGTTACCTCGCCCGTCCCATCTGACGGCAGAGTTTTGGGGCCGAGCAGGCTGGTTGTGGTAGCAAGATGCTGCAGAAGCATCCCGAATGAGATCAATTCGGCGCACATGAGTTCGCAGTGATTGTCGGATGGCGGCATGGTTACAAGAGGGGGCTGGCGGCAAGTGTGTTACAAATGGCGTGTACTGATGCCTGGTCTGGTTGCTTGCGAAGTTTGTTGCGGATACAGGGGATTAAGAATTGGCTGTTTGTGCAAGTAGGGGTTCAATCAATGTTGACCCGTCTGGAGCCCTGTTATGTCCACAGCAATGGCGCAGACGTGCCCCGCTACAGGAATGGATTGACGGGCTGACTCGTCATATCACGCTTGTAGAAGACAGACGGTCTGGTCTGCTATTATTGCTCGAAACCAAAGATACCGCTATGTATCATCCGAATCGTCGCCCAGGATACATCCGGAGAGCACCAGCACTTCAAAAGAAAATTATACTATTGCGCAAAAAAAAAAAAAAAAAAAAAAAGAAAGAAAGAAAGAAAGAAAGAATTTTGTAGGCCCATGTTTCGCCGGTCAAGGCACAAGGCGTTTAGGTGTCTCTTCAATGTTCGGACATAGCTGCAATATGTATCGATACCTACTTTACCTAGGTACCTACCTACCTAGGAAGTATAGGTACTTAGAGTATGCCGAACCAAGCCCCAGCAGTCACTCCGTACCCAGTCACTATATCAACAAGTCAATGGTGCGAAAGGATACAGACGCCGATGCAAACTTGGCCAAGGGTTTTCTCAAACGTTCTACTAGTCTCTGAAAACCGCAAAGGGAAATCCGGGGTATACTACCGGCCTAGCTCAGGAGCATCTTGGACGGTTGACGCATCAATCCGATCCGAACACCTCAATAGAGCCGATCCCCCCACCACCAAAGCCTGCAGGTGCCTCGGCTCAAGGCAAGCTCCCCCGAGAATGCCGCCGCGGAGTGTATATCTCTGGATGCGCTCACCCTCTCTTTCTGTGCCAGCTGCTTCGTGGTTTCTGTGAAACCCTCTGTTGTTGAACTGCTCCTATTGACCGAGAATTCCAAGCTCAGTTTCCCATAATGTCTGGCCCTGGTGTTGGTTTCGAGTATCCTCCTCAGGAGGTCACTTGGCTGAAGCGAGATGTTTTGCTGTTTGCAAACAGCATCGGCGCGACGGCCGACGAGCTTCACTTCCTCTACGTACGAGAGGACCCAGGCCGTTCCAGCGAGGATAACCACGGCTAACTTTGATTTCCAGGAGCTTCACCCCAAGTTTGCCGTCTTCCCTACATACCCCATCATCCTGAGTGAGTGAGCCCACGGCGCTGCAATGCCGCAAAACGTCGCTCGCGAAGTTTGCGCTAATCCCTGCCGCGCAGCATTCAAGGGTAACACCCAGGAAGTCATCGACTTCTATGCCTCCTCCAAGGCCGTCAAGATCCCTAGCGTGCCGGAATTCGACTACAGGCGCGTCGTCGATGGCCAGCGAAAGATGGAGTTCCTCAAGGCCCTGCCCACCTCCTCCGAGGGCAGGAAGTTCGAATCCAGAACCAAGGTCCTCGGCGTCTACGACAAGGGCCGGCCAGGCACCGTCCTCGACGTCCAGACTGACCTCGTCGACACTGCTACCGGCGAGGTTTACACCCGCGTGACAACGAGTTCATTCTTCGTCGGCCAGGGTGGCTGGCACGGCCCCAAGGGTCCCGCGACCAAGAACTTCCCTCCTCCCAAGGACAAGAAGCCCGATGCCGTTCTGGAGCACCAGACCACGACCGAGTCGGCTCTGCTGTACCGCCTCAACGGCGACTACAATCCCCTCCACGCCACTCCGGAGCCTGGCCAGAAGATGGGCTTCGGGGGCGCCATTATGCACGGCCTGTACTCATGGAACACTACCTGCTATTTGATCCTCAAGACCTTTGGCGGCAGCGACCCTGCCAACGTCAAGGAATACCAGGCTCGTTTTGCTAGTCCTGTCAAGCCCGGCGACAAGCTGGTCACGAGTGTCTGGCGCACCGGCGAGAAGCAGGGTGACTTTGAGGAAATTCGATTTGTCACTGAGGTTGCAGGCGGCAAGGTGTGTTTGAGCAATGGCCGTGCCTTGGTCAAGGTCGTTGGAGGCGCTGCTAGCAAGCTGTGAGACTGAGGTCCTTAGCCATAATAGTTACCAGGTAGTTGGCCATTTGAACGCACAATGAAAATATGTCACGAATGAGTAAAAATTCACAATCCATCAGCAAATTCCCCCTCGAAATTCAATGGAATTTTGTGCCCTAGAGCATAAGCATGCGTTGTTAAGCGGCCGTCGTTGATATACTGGTTTTGCCAATGGCTGCGGAACTGGGGCTTCCCAAATTCTGCTGCTGCCTTGGCTCGTAGCCCCCAGTCGTACTCACCAGACCATCACAACATCCAATGCTGCAAGACACCCCGCGACACGCCCAACTTCGCAGCCGGTCAAATGCTGTCCCTTCCTAGAGCTCGTCAATAATGAACCAAGAACCACACGTGGGCCAGCGAGTTTCCTACGGCGGCGCACTCTGCACGGTCCGCTATGTCGGTGAAGTTGCGGGAACCACTGGCTCGTGGCTGGGCGTAGAATGGGACGACTCGACCCGCGGGAAGCACGATGGCTCGCACAAGGGCGTGCGCTACTTCACATGTATGCTGCTCATAGTCTTTGAATGGTGTCTTTTTTCCTAACAACATCAATTTAGGCCTTTCCAGGTCGTCCACGGCTGCGTCCTTTGTCCGCCCCACGCGGCCCAAGGACGACGTCCGGGGCTTCCTATCCGCCCTCAAGGAGAAGTATCTCTCTGACCCGGAGCAGGATAAGAATGGCCAGCCGGGTGCTCAAATTGTCATTTCGGGCAGAAAGGTTGCCGAGGAAGTGGGCTTTGACAAGATTTGGAAGAAGCTTGCACAAGTCAAGGACCTGAAGATTGTGATTTTAGACGGCATGCGAATAGCTGTTTCTCGACAAGATGGAGATGGTCCTATAGCAGAGTCGTGTCCGAGTATCGTGCATGTCGATCTGAGCCGGAATTTGTTCGAGACGATTGGGTCAGTGGTAGATATTTGTGCAGAGCTGAAGACGCTGCGAAAGCTTAGTATCAAGTGAGTATTGGCTTCATGCTTCATGCTTCAGATGGATATTCGCGGCAGCGGCTAACGCCACTCGAAGTGGCAATCGGTTTCAGAAGCTCTTGCAAGATGCGGCCCTGGACAGAATCAGTTCTGCATTTCAGGGCGTTACGGAATTATCACTCGAAGAGACGTTGCTCACGTGGGAGGAGTTGTGCGCCATCGCCGCCCGATGTCCCAGCTTGAAGGAGTTGAATGCTGGTTCGAATCAACTCACTTGCCTTCCAAAGATGGGCCACCTCCCTCTACCATCCGCTTTAACCTCCATCAACCTCGAGTTCAACGAGTTCACAGCCCTATCTGACCTTGCGAGCCTCGCGTCCCTCACGTCCCTGCGGAACCTCCACCTCAAAGGCAACAACATCACTGCCATCTCATCCCGCGGCGCCACCGGTCCCGTGTTCCCCCCATCGCTACAGTATCTCGACATATCATACAACAGCATATCTGCCTGGTCTTTTGTCGACCTTCTGCCCACCCACTTCCCGGGTCTCAACGCGCTCCGCCTATCCCACAACCCCGTCTACGACGCAGCCAAAGACGACGACAAAAAGGCATCGTCGTCCGAAGAATCGCACATGTTCACTATCGGACGGCTGGCCAATTTGCAGAGTCTCAACTTCGCACAAGTCAAGGCCGCGGACCGAACAAACGCAGAAATGTTTTACTTGTCGCGGATAGCGAAGCAGCTGGCTACAGTCCCCGAGTCCGCAGAACATACCATCTTGGTTCAACACCCGCGGTACAAGGAGCTTTGTGATATATACGGAGAACCGGATGTCATTCGGAGGGATGAGGTCAATCCCTCGTTCCTAGAAGCGCGCCTAATCTCAGTGACGTTTCATTCTGAGGGGAGGCAGACAAAGACGTGCAGGATACCCAGGTCATTTGATGTTTATGCTGTCAAGGGCATTGCGGGGAAGTTGTTTGATTTGCCACCGCTGAGAGTGAAGCTGGTTTGGGAGACGGGGGAGTGGGATCCTATGGCGGGATATGATGATCGCGATGGGGACAGTAGTGATGATGAGGAGCTGCGTGGTGATGAGACCACCGAGAAGGCTCAAGAGAATGGTGGGATGAATGGCAAGTCCGGGCGATGGATAGAGAGGGAGGTCGAACTGAAGGATGGGCCTAAGCAGTTGGGGTACTGTGTTGATGGGCTGGATGTGTCTATTCGGATTGAGAAGCCTTGATATGATAGACTAGTCGCATAGATTACTTGGATAATTCGCAAGTATTTGGCCAGAGTCCCTATTCCAGAAGAAGGAAAGAACGAAGCACAAGTGACTAAGTAGCATATCTAACCCCATGGGCATACATTGCCTCCATTCGCCCGCGGGAGAGGCGCATATTCCATGGGACTATATCGTTGTAGAGCTTGGTCGACATAGCGCGTCGTTGTAATTGCCACCGCTCGACTTCATGTAACATGATGATACGGCCCGACCTTCAGCACCATCCGGAGAACATATCTCAAACTTCGTGGATTTTCGCTCTTCAAGCTCAACAGGGCCAAATTCATGATACCCGTTTCGCATTCTAGAGAATCAGCTCGACACGAAGCTGGATACGATTTAAAGATCAGTCATCATAGAGTGACGTCATCGCAGCCAAGTCAAAGCTTCACCAACCCAACTCGGCCACCAGAGCACAACTGCGGGATAGTCACCGGGCAAACATACTGATTATTCTCACTCGCAGGGTCGATTTGAAATCCGGATTATACCAAAGTAGCACAATATTTATCCTCTGCCATCGGAGATAGACATGGCTTAGTGAAACAGTCATCGGAATAAGCGATTGTACATGGCCCTAATTCCGACCCAGTGCCCCTGGCTGCGGATGGCGGGGATTGGTATCGAACAACTCGCCAGGTTGACGCAGACGGCGCACGGCGTTGTATGAACCGTCGCGTACCCCCCACTGACCCGACTCGGAGGGGGCGAGAAATCCCATGTGTAAGGGGGAAGCTTTCGTCGATGGAAAGTATAAAGACGAAGCGTGTTCAGGGGCTGCTTGAGGGGGAGCTGCCTCTCATCATCGGCTTTGGTACGATACATTCAGTTCTACAATCACAAAATTCCTTCAGCCAAGGCCACTGCTCGAGAAAACCGTCAACATGCCTCAGGTCATCGGTAAAGAAGTCGGGCCCATTGGGTACGGCCTCATGGGTATGTCACCAGTTGAGCACGTTTCCCATCGACCAATTGTTTGCTTACAAGGATAGGCTTCACCTGGCGCCCTGAACCTACGCCCATCGACCAGGCCATCGAGGCACTCAAAGCAGCTTTGGAGAGCGGCCTCACTCTGTGGAACGGTGCTGAGTTCTATGGCACTCCTGACTGCAACTCCATGACCTTGACCAAGGCGTACTTCACCAAATATCCCGAGGATGCCGATAAAGTGACGCTGGTCATCAAGGGCGGTATGGATCTCACTACGCACAAACAGGATGGCACCCCCGAGGGCACTCGCCGCAGTCTGGATAACATCATCAAGCAGCTCGGCGGAACCAAGAAGCTCGATGGGTTTGCTCCTTCAAGACGCGACCCTAGCACGCCGCTAGAAGTTACCTATGGCGTCATCCAGAAGGAGTACATCGATACTGGAAAATTGGGTGCCGTCTACTTATCGGAGTGTAGCGCCGAGACTGTTCACGAAGCAGCCAAGCTCGCCAAGATTGGCGCTGCTGAGGTTGAACTGAGCATGTTCTCCCCTGACATTCTTACCAACGGTGTTGCTGAAGCCTGTGCTCAGCATGGCATCCCCATCTTGGCCTACTCGCCAATGGGCAGAGGGGTACGTTCTTGCCAAAATAAAAACGCGCCATTGTCGAATCCAAATAGCTAACAAGCCATCAAGATGCTCACTGGTAGATTCAAGAGCGTTGCGGATATGCAGGATCGCGGAATTATATCCAGTTTTCCACGATTCCAGTCTGGCGCGTTTGAACACAATCTCAAGCTTGTTGGTCAGGTCGAAGAGATTGCAAAGGTAAAGGGATGCACACCCGGTCAGTTGGCCATCGCGTGGGTGCGCAAACACAGCAACCGCCCTGGACTTCCTACCATTATTCCTATCCCTGGAGCTACCGCAGCCTCAAGAGTCAGGGAGAATGCGAAGCTGGTGGACATTACCGATGAAGAATTCACCAGGATCAGTGACATGGTTAAGAACTTTGAGACGGCGGGCAAGAGATATCCGGATTCTGTCCCTACCAACACCTGAAGAGGGGGGGGGATCCTATCCTTGTTGTTAGCATTTGTTTCTATGTCCACGATAGACGATGGCGTGTAATTTAGTGGGAAGCGACTATGAATCAGGAAATTTTGTCCACAGGCTGGCCACAAAGGGCCTTCAGAATTGCAGAATTCAATAAAATTGAATGCATCATGTTCGAGTAGGAAAAGCGTTTGCTTCGAGTTGGAACTTACCCAGGTGGTCCCAGCAGCAGCGCGACAGTGAACACAGCGATAATGATAATTTCGCGACGGCTCCCAAGCCCAGAATCCCATGAGCCCTAAAATCAATCAATGTCGCGTTCTTCTCGGCGAGTCCAGGGCACGGAGACTTGAAGAAATGGTTGAAACTGAAGTGGAGGTCGCTGAAATATTTGCATTCCCACCACGCCCCCACGTGACCAGGTCTGGCATCATGGCGGAAAAACAATTTGAGCATGAACCAAGGTTGTGACACAATTACGAGTTGGTGAGAGTATCACAGAAACCTCCGCGAGGCTTTACAGTTCTATCAAGTGTCCAATGGGGTTCTGCATGTCAACTTTCATCGTCAATGCTGACTCAAGGCTTGGATATACACCAAGAAACATGGAACCTCTGATCTTACAAGGCGTCTATTACGACTCTCGCGTTATTGGGGTATACAGAATAAGCCTTTGTTGCCAACACTTCCAACAGGCAAAGTACTTCCAACCGAGTCATGCCCACCATACATACATACATGCCTGCCTACACTATCATAGCCCCATTCAAGCCA